GAAAGAGTGAACATTTTTGTTTAGTTCCTGATCTTAGGGGGAAAACACCTAGTCTTTCATCATTAAGTATGATGTTAGCTCTGGGGTTTTGTTAGACATTCTTTATCAGGTTGAGGAGGCTCCCTTCTATTCCTAGTTCATTGAATCATTTATCATGAAAAGGTTTCGGATTTTGTCAGATGCTTTTTCTGCATCTATTGAGATGATCATCTGTTTTTTGCTCTTTATTCTATCAATATAGTATGTTTCATTAATTTATTTTTAGATGGTAAACCAACCTTGCATTCCTGGGATAAACTCCACTTTGTCGTGGTACATAATCCTTTTAATATGTTGCTAGATTCCATTTGCTGGCATTTTTGTCGAGGATTTTTGTGTTTCATAAATATATTTTGATCCACATAAAAAGCATGAAATTATTTTGTAATAACCCTCCCATTTTCAGAATGCTTTATAGTTTCAAAGGGCTCTCTTATAAATTGAACTTATTCCCAGTATAAAGACCATTAGAATAACTCAAATGACCTTATCTGATCTCAGCTACCCATCTGGAAACCTAGCCATCATCCGAGTGCCCAATAAGATAAATGGCTTCACTTGCATAGTCCAAGAAGACATGCCCACTAACCCTGCAATCCTGGCAGTGCTAGATTCTTCGGGTAGAAGTTCCTGCTATCATCCCAACGGAAATGTCTGGTAGGCTTCTAGGTTCCTCCTGCTGTCATTTTGTTTCTCAGGTTTTGTGAAATTTTATTTTTTCAACTTTATTGAGATATAATTGACATATACTGTGTAAGTTAAAAGTGTACAGCGTGTCGATTTGATACACTTATATGGTGCAAAATGATTACCTCTATAGCATTAGCTAACACAGGCAACATGTCACATAATTACCATTTCTTTTTTGTGTTGAGAACATTTAAGATATGCTCTGTTAGCAACTTTCAAGTTTATAATACAGTGTTAACTATAATCACTATGCTATACATTAGATCCACAGATCTTATTCATCTTATAACTAGAAGGACAAAAATAGCTTTAAGATTTATTTATATTAGTGGTCTTTAGATAGTAATGTTCAACTCAGATAAATTTTTGATTTATGTCATTCCATATGTTGCTTAGTGGAAAAATCCCAGGAAACTACATAAAACAAAGCTCATCATATTTTTTTCTATAAACAGAAAGAAAATATAAACTATACAATTTTAATATTAGAAAAACATCTCTAAATAAATTATATGGCCATCCTAGGGATCTGAGATATGAACCCAGGCAGTCTCTCTAGATGCTATGCCCCGATAATGTTATCCTGGCTTCATCTATGGAAATAATTCGCAATGGACAGCTGCCATACTGTGTTGTTACTGTTTGAGTATATATCCCTATATATCCCTAACAAGTAGGCTTCCCATAGCCGCAACCAACAACAATAATATACAAACAAAATCTCTACAGAAATGAAGGCCCTAATGCCTTCGATCTACCAACTTACACACTCTGTGACTTCATATTATTTCATTTAGTCTGAGAAAGTGAAATTTGGGTTCTAACTTCAAATACAATTTAACCTTTTGAAGCTTTTCAGAAAGAGATATTCTCTCCCTTTAACTTATTTACAGGTATAACAATCTTATCTTGAGACACTCTGCCAATAACTGACAGAAGTTTGAACACTCTGCCAGTACTTGAGAAAGTTAGGACACAGGGAGATATTTGTACTTTTAGTTCAAAGCAGTAGTCAATCCATTACCTCCAAGTTTATTGGAGACTTTCTGCTTATCCTTCAGGGTTCAGTAGCAGCTCTGCATCACATCTGGTGGGGCACTATATCAACTGTCACCAGATATTTACTGGCTTCTAGGACTTCTCCCTTTACCAGCAAAGACCTCCCAGCCACCGACTGAACTCCTGGGCCCATTGACATGACTCCTTGACACTCTCATAGCCCCTCTCGCTGCTTCTTGTGTAGCAAGCCCACCTCCCCTGCAGGACTGAAGTCCCTTGAAGGCACACCCTGCACCTTTGCCACTACATAACATTTATCTGTACATGGCATAGACTCAAAGAAAGTTTATTAAATAAACAATTTATCTAGATAATTTTAGCCAAATGTTATTTTCACCCACGTACCAAGATAAAACTAAATCTCCCTCCTCCCAGATACAAAGATAATCACCTCAATTTCTCAGTTGTACTTTTGTTATCAGATTACTGCCACTCAAAGCTGGGAAAATACGATGTGAGTTATCTTACTCTAGGGAGCCCTCCTGGCCAATTCATCTGGTTTAAAAAAAATAATTTATTATCAAATTAATCCAGCTAAGTACCCAGAACTCTACCTATCCTCTCTCCTCGAGGAAGAGATGGTGACCCCAGATGGAAGAAAGTGAGAGGGTATGCAAAGGAGCTCATAGAGTAGGATGGCAGTCACTAGTGCCACTAGATCTCAGATTGTGCAGGGCTACATCTGTAGGTAATGTGGTAAAATGTGGCATTAACAACTCTAAGAGACTGGGGAGGCCCTGCTGGCCTCAGTTCCCCCTTCTGCTCCATTACCAAACTCTTCTAAACCACAGTGATCTCAGAGATGATCCCTGAGCCTCTCCTGCTCACACTGGCCCTGATGAGAGGCCTCCTAGAAGGACTCCTGGCCCCCCAGTTGCCGGGTACTGTCAGGAAACAGGTCTCTGTACTGAGGCCAATTTGGCCTTTCCCAGAACTTACACTCACTGATCTTCATTTTGACACAGGGAAAATCTAAGTACGAGTCTTCTCCCCTCTTCCAGGTAGAGCCTGCTCTCCTGGATTTCTTCTTATCCAAACTAAACCTTCTATGCTCCCTCTTCATCCTCCCCAGCACATCGTTTTCCAGATCCCTTTACCACCCTGGTTCCAGCCTTTGGACCCATTTTGGTTTATTACTACATCTTAAACCATACCCAGTACTTCAAATTAGTATAGAATTCGGTCACATTATTATTGCTCCTAAGATTACCTGAGGTTTTCCACTATTCATATGCTATTGGCTAGTATAAACTGCTATTCCCTTTGGTTAGCAAGTGAGCAGGCTAATTCAAGGTTGAATTATAATGTTAACTGTTTATGATTTTTAATTTCCTTTCTGCCCAGGGTATACATCAATATCTTGGGCGGTCAATGTTCAGATCAAGCTGGCAACAGAGTAAGGGCTTGGAATTGGTCAAGTTCCGTCACTTCCTCACCCTTTGTTTCATTTAAACCTGTCTTTCTGGCTTTGAACCATTATGTTGGAATCCGCATCTTAGAACAAGACAAGATTTCAATCACTTTTCTAGCAATGGGCCAACAGGCAAGAATCAGTGTTGGAACCAAAGTGAAGGTAGGTACATTTTTATAAACAGTTGAAAGCATTTAGAATAATAAGAGTAAAGCAATGTTTGTTAGTGTTATTACTGATAGATTATACTTGTGTGTAATCCACTGTGCACTACTGTGAATTTTGGAGTTCAATGAAAAAACATATAGTGAAAGTTTCATATGGAATTGAGGCAACCTTACTGTTTTTTCTTCCTCAGAAATTCATTTTAGTTCAGACTTGATTCCAAATAACATTTACTGAGTGTTTACTCTCTGACTGAGGTAGTGCAGCTTTGGGGGTTTGATTTTGGGACTTTGTATTGGGTTTGGTTTTCTCTGTGCTCTAGCAGAAAGCGCCTGGCTGAGTCAGGAGACCTGGGTTCTGACCATGTTCAAGACCCAGCACAAGCCCCATCTCCTTGGAAACACTTCCCAGAGCTCCTAGCCCTTTGTCCAATCAGGGTCAAAAATGTCCTTCTCTGGGTTGTCCGTGTACTCACCTCTGTCCCTGCACTTGCTGAACCATGTGCCTTACTTGCCTTCATGGCTGTCTTTCCTACTGGACGGTGAGCTCCTGCAGGACAGAATCTGTCTTACTGATTTCTTTATCCTGCCCGGGGCATGGCCCAGAGTACACTCTCAGTGACCAGAAATGCTGCACAACGCTTAAGAACACAGACTTCGGGTTACAGAGATGTAGTTTCAAACCTCAGCTCTGCCACTTAGCTAAGTGGCTGAACTTGAACTTCCGTTCCCTCCTCTACAAAATGGGGATAATGATTCCTCTCTTACAGATTGCTGTGAAGATTCAATGAGAATGCAAAGTACTTAGCATGGTGCTTGGAACTGACTAAGTACTTAGCAAATGATAGCTCAGTAGAGATGTAGAGTTTGTCAGTTATACCTCAGTAAAGCTGAAAAATATATAGGCATGTAGAGAAAGATATAAATAGAGATCTATGTCACACATAGAGCATATATAGTATGTGACTTTGAATAAGTCCCCTAAACTCTGAGGACCTTGTTTCATCAATTATTCAAGGAAGAGATTGTTCCAAACTTCAAAGATGTCTTCAGCTTCTAAAAAGTCTATACGTTTAATCAAGTGGAAATATGACTTCAGGATTCCACACAGGCAGGGATATTTCATAAACACCAAACACAAGGGAGACTTCAGATTCAGCCAACATGGAGCAAGGGTCTACAATGTGCTAAGCACTATTTGATCTACTTCCAGTCAGTCTAGCTACTGCAGGCAGCTGTCAGGCTCCAAACAAGCTTCTTCCTTGGTTAGAAATTTACAAGATAGCCTTTTTTTGGTTCATTACATTCATGGTAAATGCATTTTTACCAAAAATGTCAAAAATGCTCTTTCTCTTTCTCCTCACCTCCCTCCTTCGAAATGAATTTTAATCAGAAAAGAGAGTTGGTGCAAAAGAAAGAATTTGATGTTAAAAACGATTGCTTTTCTCATCATGCTCATGAACACCCTTTCATTTTTTTAAAATTCCAAAAGCGATATGTGAATACATTCTCATATTTGAAGATTCAAATAATACAGAAATATAGAGAGTAAAAAAATGAGATACCCCCCCCTTCATCCTTTCTTCTATTCTAATTCTCTTCCCAAAGGTAGTCACCACTGAAAATTTGGTGTGTACTTCTCTTTTCTATGTACTTATACTCACATACATCTTTTTAAAATAAAAATTGGATCAGACTACACTGATTGTATTAGGCTTGTTCTATTTGTTTTCGTTTTCCATTTAACATGTGTTAAAGATCCTTTCATGTCTACATATCCAAGCATATTTGTCTATTCTGTTGCTACATAATATTTCATATGTACTATAGTTAATTTATGTTGAATCTAATGCCTTCTCAGTGGCATTGGGCACAGTTGCTCACTTCCTCCTCCTAGAAGAATTTCCTCCCTTGCTTCCAGGACCTACTCTCCCTTGATTTTACTTCTACCGCAAGGGCTACTCCTTCTCATTTTTCTTTGCCTATTTTCTTCACCCCCGCCTTTTTCTAAATATTGAGGGGCTCCAGGGCTTGTCGTTGGGCTCATCTTTTCTCTAGCTATACTCACTCCCTAGGTGATCTCATTAGTTTTCTGTCCTGAAATACCATCTGCTTGCTGATGACCCCTCCATTTATCTCCACGTGTATCTCCCAGGAACTCTAAACTTGCAGATCTGATTCCAGCCCTCCATCTCCATCTGGTGTCTAAAGGGCATTAGAAACTTCACAGAGCAAAATGACATTTGAAAGCGTGCTCTACCTTGGGTCTTCTCCATCTTGGGAAATGGCAACTGCTTTCTTTCAGTTGCTCAGACCCAAAACTTCGGGGTTGCTACCCTCCTCTCTGTTTCACAACCCCACATCTTTCATCTGCAAGTCCTACAAACTCTACTGCCAACATATCTCCAGACTCTTAACACTCCTGGCATCCTTCAAGACTACCACCCTTATCTGCCTCATGTACCTAACCCATCTCTTGTTTAAATTATTACAGTAGCCTCCTCCTAAGTCTCCCTGCTTCCGGTCTTCCCAAAGTCAATTCTGCCACGATAGTGGAGGTGATATTTTGAAAACAAAAGTCTGGTCAAAACTGGAGACTTCTAACCTTACTCAGAGTAAAAGCCAAGATCCTATAACTGCAATACTGTATGTGATCTGGACTTCCTTCTATTAACATTCCCTCTGTAGTCCTCTTTTCCTACCCACTCTGTTTCAGCCACCCTGGCCTTTTTGCTGTTGCTAGACAATACCAGGCATGTCGCTGACACAGGGCTTTTGTACTTGCTATTCACTCAACTTAAAATATTCCTCCCCCATTTAGCAGAGAGCTGCTGCACTTCCCTCAGGTTTCTGCTCTCGGAGTCCTTTCCTGACCACCCCGTGTAAACTCGCACGATCCCCACCCCTACCCTGGCACTCTGAGTGCCCCTTTGGCTATATATATATGCCACAGGTTCTAATATGTAGGGCTCCCATTTTCTTTCACCTCTAAAGGGTTTATGATTTGTATTCTGATTTCTTCAACTCAGTAGTTATTGAATTTTCAAATAGATTTCTTAAACTTGCTATCTTTTTCTTCTTAACTTCTAAATGGTCAAGGAATATGGCTTGCATTTTTTCCCTGCTGTTTAAAATGTACTGATATTTTCTTGGTGGTTGATGACATAACTTATGACTGTTCCATGTATATTTGACCCCCCCCCCAAAAGGTTTACTAGCACAAAACTGTATATGTCTAAATGTTCTATTTACACTTCTCTCTATATCCTTTTTATTATGGTTGATTTATTTCTGAGAGATGTATGAATGTCTCCCAATATGACTGAATTAGTACATTTTTCCTACAATTTCTATCAGGTTTTGCTTTATCTGTCTTGAAGCTCTATGGTTAGGAAATTAAAGGTGTCGACTGTCTTCATGGTGAGTTATATACTTTTCACCCCTGGGCCACCTCACTTATTTGCCTTTCAGCTGTGCCCATTACATGACTCAGCATTATCACTGAGGGTTTTTGTTTCTATTTTGACAAAAAATTTTAATGTCATCAATACGTATTATTCCCAGTTTCCCTCTTAATGGTCTTTGCCTTAAATGCTACTTCATATGATGTTAAATTGCTACACCTGCTTTCTTTTAGTTTGCACTGGCTTCATACATCCTTTTTTTCATCCTTTGATTTGCAACCTTTTTATGTAGTTTTGAGTTAGATGTGTCCCTGCAAACACATCTAACTTTTGTTGCTTTCCTCAACCTAACAGACTTGATCTTTTAATATGTTATATTTTAATGGTTATTCTAAAATTAACGTATCTTTTTTCTACATGCATAGAACTAAGCTCCAAATCCTCTATTTTCCTTGACAACAACAATTCTCCCAAATCCCTCAGAAAATATTAACTATACACACACACACACATATATATGTATGTATATATATATATTCTAAGGTCTGTTTCCCTGAATATTGGCATCTCTGATAGGTAAATCTGGTGCCTCTCATTGAGAAGCCCTGTTCTCCTGCATGTTCTTACTGAAGTGTCCTTCTGCTAACTGTGGAGGAGTGGCATGTGCTGCTGAGGGGTGGAAGGCGAGCTCCAGCGCCAGGCTTCCAGCCTCAGCCTGTGGGCACCGCGGCTCAACACAAAGGGGAGGCCAGGGGACCACGGCAATATTTACCTCAAGGCCTCTCCTCCTCCCACTGCTGTTGACTTTGAGCTCGGAACGCGTGTGTTTGGAATTAGTGGTTCCATCTGGTCGTTTATCTCTCTACGGATGTGGTCCCAGCTGCCTTGATTTTC